TTGACGATGATCTGCCGACACGTTTTTGTTTACACTTCGTTTCGCCGCTGATCGCTGACAAATAAAATTGGCCCGCAAACTGATTTGTAGCATTTTATTTATTTAATGTTGTTTTTAATAGAAATTATATTGATTTTAATAGCACATATAAACGTCACATATAGAGATATATTGACCTAAAGCCAAACAAAGGTTAAAAACAAATACGTGTTAATCATGAATGTATGTAAAATGAAATGGCTAAAATGCACACTACAATGGGATTGTGTGAGCGCATTGTGAAAATGGCAAACGATGAAAGTTCAAGCTCTGGATGTTTTTTTCTCTCGATTTTTCGCGATCGCCCAGAGAAATTGAACAATGAACAGAAAATTGGCAATCATTCGATTTTGAAGCAATTATTATTGTTATTTTATCTAATTACCAATCATTTTGAATATTTCATTTTGATATCTTTGAATATTATTAAATATTCGATAAATAGCGCGAAATCGTGAACTTGAAATCAGATGCCGTTTGATTAATTTCGCATGATACAATCGCAATGTGAAAACAATGAACAACTATAAATATGCAATAAAATTTCAACAACAACTAAGTTTCGTTTGTTGATTTGACAAAGAAAATGATGACCTTAGAATATGTTCAGATTTGGTCATGTCAAATAAAATGTAACGTGAACACAATTTCTCACACATCTATACACACACAATAATAATTCATTAATAGTCGCGTGCAAATACAAAAAATAGTTTGAAAAGAATATCACGAGTTATGCGAAACACAATAAGCACAATTTCATTTATAAATCCATACCCATAAATACACAACGATCGAAAGCGAAAAAATTTAATTTACAGAGTTGTGGATTTTGTGAAAGGCATTCCTTTAATTGCAGAACGAATGCGCAAGTTGGATGAACTCAAGCAAGATGATTTGTAACATCGAAATCACTTCCCATTGTAAATTCAACAAAAAATCATACCAAACGACCTTTCCTCCCGCCCTGACAATTCAAAACAATACGGAAGAACGTCCACACTACCAAATTTTGGAATCGTTGTTAATGAGAAACAAAAGAAAAATGGAAGAAAAACAACTTTAAACATCAATAATTATGATTTTATGAGTGTCTAATATGGTTCGAATATTGATTTGAGTCGACCACAATATTTCAAAATGCAGATATGGTTATTGTATTGGCATGATGGCGTTTTTCACATATTAAATATTGATGATAGTAAGTGCAGGCTCGTAAAAACTCATTGATGGATCGATGTGCAGAAGTGTATATTAGGAAATGGCCGCTGGCAATATTTGAGACCATTTCATTTCAATGGAAGCAGTGTGTGGTTTTTTTTTAAATGTTTAACGAATAGAAAATGAAAACGAAACGAAAAAAAAAATACAAAGATAAAAACGATTTGAACGATACATGAGTTTAATGCCATGATAAATATATCGAGATCGATTCGTGGCTTTGGTTGTAGCATAACGATATTAGAATATGGTAATCACAGCGATAGCGCACTGAGAAATTCGAAAAAATGCAGGAGGGAATAGATGTGATTGACCGAATTGTCAATTAATTTTGAAATCAATAAAAACGTTCACATAGCTTAATATTTGTGAAGAATATTGTTTATATGTCTTATTCTCTCTCTCTCCCTTTCTCGATCTCTCGACAAGTACCATTTTTACCTCGAACTCATTGTGAAACTTTTTTCTTCGTTCGATATCGCATGCAATCGAACAAAATCATTGCATTATGCCACCAGAAGGGAAATAAAGAGAGACGAAAAAAACCTATTTATGATAATTTGAATTCATATATGTATTGGCCTGCAGCAATAACAAGCCGGCATGTGCCATTATTTCAAACATCTAAATTATACATCATTGCATACTTGGGATCGACGACGATAATGATGATGATGGTCAATCGATCGATCGATCCATCGTTTCATTTGCTGGTTTTCTCTAAACATAACGTCGCTTATGCCAATCCATCGAAATATTAAAAATTTCAGCCAATCAATTGATTTGCCGCAATTTTCGTGTCAAAACTAACTGAATTAAGTTATGGAAATGAAAATAGAACCATTGCTTCCATTGACTCCTATCAATTAATGTGTATATTAATCAATTTTGGCAGATATTGAAGTGATTTGGCTGTGTTGCACAACCATTTTGTCGAATTTGTTGATCGTTTTTATGCCAAAGCCCATGCATGATCGATTAGCTACATGTAATTTTTGAGTTCGGGTTCAATATCGTAATATCGTGTAACGAATGAAGAAAAACGAAAAAAAATTTTTTTTTTCTTGTTGCTTCTTTAATTTGAGAGAATCAAAAATATATGCCTGGAATGAAAATGTAAATTTATTGCGTTTGGTGCTCAGGAAAGAAAAAATCAAATAAAAAATACTATGTTTTATCATGCGATGATGAATTTATGGAAAGAAGCAGCTATAACACAAATGTATACAGAGAATCGTAAAATAAATCAAGCGAGTCGTTTCAAATGCCATGCTAAAATCAACGGTTGCTATGTTGACTTAATGTGCTGCGCTTAATCGTACATCGCACACAAAATTCTCTGTGGCCGTAACTATAATGAAAATGTCCTTTGCAATGTCATCCAACGCTGCTACACTTGTAATCGCTTGTAATAAAGCCCAGTGATCTGTGCAAAAAAAAAAAATCTAACTCTTGATGATATCGCTTATTGTAGATGTGTTTTTTTTATTTTGTTTTGTGGTTTTGTTTTCATATGGCGTCATGACTAAAACAACACTAATTCAATTGCGGTTCTCGTATTTGTTGATTTATTTATTTTTTATTGAACGACGACAATACATCGAATGCAAGCCATAATGTTTGAGTCAAGCAATAAAAGCGGCGCACCATGAAGTATGTGTTCATTCAAACATATATGGTCAATGATTTCAAACATTCTTCTATAGCATTTTTTTCTCTCTTCACACATACGAATCAATGCATACTTTTTATACAGTGACTAAGTTATTCTCGTAAAATCTCAGCTCAATCAAAAATGTCTGGCAAATATGATTGTAACCATGTACAAATCAAATACAGCGCGCGCTCTCGTATACATTATAATTTTTTTTTTCACGTACAAATCTAACTAAGAGTCCATTTGTAATTTGACCGTGCAATCGATATATTTGTGTACGTGCAAACATACGCATTTGCAGAAATAAAAAAAAGGAATGCATCGCGCACGGTACACGATGGAAATGATAGCCAATGCAATTGCTACTCGCATTGATCGTGGTTTTGTAGGTCAACCATTTGTAATACGATGTCTTGACTTTAAATTGGCCAGTTACACATATTTTGATAAACTGCAACTGTTCGCGAGTTCATTATCACTATTAATGTAGTCGATGTGAGTGAAATCATGAACTCGATCAAACATTTATTGACCTGACTCGTTTTAATACTTCATTCACACAATACATGTACATGTGGTGCGCGTAACTAATATGAAAACACATTTTTCGCCTCTTCTTCTGCCTCCAAAAATTGGATTGTTTGTTGTGTTTTTATTCATTCAATTTTCTCTATTGTAATATGAATTTAAATAAACGTTTATTGTAATTTACTGCCAAAATTTCCATGATTGTAGTCACTAGTCAGTATTGAGCCTATACAGTATCCAATAAATTTCGAATTCTTAACGAATTGAAGAAGTGTTTCATTCTTTTTCATCGTCATCCTCTCCTACGTCGGTTCATTTTCAAATCATAAACAGTATTCAGCACTGTCATCAATTTAAAATCGACAAATCTTTAAATTTCCTAATTGCTATTCGGAAAATTAAACATGAATAGAAATCGACAGTCATACAATCAATATGCTGACATATTCAATAAAAGACATTCATTGTCGTTCGTTATCTATGGACTAATCTGTTACGCGTGTCATATTTTTCTGAAGAAAAAAAAATTGTTCAAAGAGGTCATTAACATTGACACGATTCGAATCATTTTGGTGCAAATTCGATTTATGAACTGACTGAATATGATGAATCTATATTTAAGCAATCAACATAATAAATTTTTCCCCCTGTCATGGCCATTTTCAATCAAATCTATTCACATTAATTTTCTTATGGCGAACGAAGAAATGTCGTTTACTTCTTCGAAACTACGGTGAGGTAGCTTGGCAGAATATTGCGAGAAAAGATGGAAAAAAAGAAAAAGATAGAAAGAGAGAGAGAGAGAGAGAGAGAGAGAGAGAGAGAGAGAGAGAAATAGAGAGAGATGGAAAATACAAAAATTATGGTGACATGGTTATGAAAATTGATACGTTTTGAAAACTGAAAACCAAACAAAACTGATTATTTTTCTATAATTTTTTGTGACCTGAAACAAAAAAGCCAAATCCGAATGGAAAAAAATTGAGTTGTGTTGCAACTTCTATGGAATTTGTGATTTGACCATTAAATTTCGATATCGTGAGAATCATCTGTGGGCAATATGACGGTCATATTTGATTCAATAGACTGCCGTTGAACAAATGAAAAGAGTTGAAGTCGCAAAATGATATAATTTGCACAATTTAATGCCAGCACACAATGGGAGCTGAGACAGTAAAGTTGGTTTCATGGAATGCTTATGCTTTTGAATTCTAGTGATTTTTTAAACGAAAACTAATAACATAATTATAGTTTGTATTCGTTTTCGTTGCCGTTGATTTTATTCATTTCTTATCGAGTGCATCCGAACACAAAACAACCGAAGAAATGAAACATTTTCAATTTTTGCTTGAGCACCAATTTTTTCTTCGTCTTTGTTCATGCGATGAAATGGCAGAATTTCTAAACCGTCTTATTGCTTGTCGTAAGCCGTTTTAAACATTGAACTGCTTAAATCGTCATCGGTTGATACAAATAATCGACACGAAGAGAGGCAAGGCAAATGGGATAACAAAGTGTACAATTTTCGTGTTTTATATTTTTTTGTGAAACTTACCGACTGCACTGATGACATAAGTAGCTGGCGGTTTCAAAACGCTTCTTGCATATGCACCACGTAAAACTTCTAGAGCGCATGGTTCAGCCGTGACTAACAGCATCCCTGGAGCAACATGACCAGCATATTTTAACGCTCTTGTTGCTGCAGTTAGTGCTTGGTTCCACCAACATTGCGAATTTGCAGCGAGAAAATTCTATAAAATAGAGCAAATAGAAAATGTTTACGATTAGAAAAAAAAAACCATCATGTAATGTTAGAAAAGGAAAAAAGAAAAGAAAAATGTGAGCGAACGACCAAGAAGGAACAACAAAGAAATCGAATGAAGATTAAACCAATTGAGTCAAGAAATAAAAGATAAAAAAAAATGCACAATAATAAATTCACAACGTGCAGATGATTTCGACCAAAGAGAATCGCACCGATTTAATGGACAGGGAGAAAATGTGACCAAAGAAATGGAAAATAGGCGAAACATAAAATTTGTAAGTCCACAAGCTCAAATCTAAAGCAGTTAATAACACAAACACTCACACGAACAAATCTACTGGAAAATGAACAAAACCAAACGGCCACAAAAATTCTGACCAACGTAAACATTATGGAAAATTATTCATGCACCAACAACGATTTTAATATTCTGCTAATGGCAAAACAATAACAATAATCACATTGCTTGTAACAGTTGTTACCATATCGGCATCTCTCTTTTTGTATATACACAAAATATAGAAATTGGCAAATATCTGTGATCTGAACGGAATTGAGTGTGTATTTACAATTTACAAACAAAGCAATCATGTTTCTTTTATTTTCTCGCTCAAATCATATCGAGAGAGAGAGAGAAAGAGAGAAATGCAGCGAATACATTTCGCCAATGATATTTAGATTAACAATAAGGATAAATGCCGCCAACATTAAACAATTGGAAAAACCAATCTAAAAAAAACCAAAACACACTTGCAAATCTTAATTGCATACGCATCTGCATAACCCAAAGCTTAAAACGATTCGATACACATTTGCCGCTTTGTATCGTGCATTTTTACCTGAAAATGGTGAACGGGATTTTATCACGAGTATAATTACCAAGTAAATGCAAGTACATACAAATAGACGCGGCAACCAATAAAACCAATTTAATTGTACAATTTTAGTATGGCATGTATCGAAAATCGATCGATCGCACTTTTATGTATTGCATACTACAACGCAAAAATTATTGTCACGATCAACAATTGCGCGCGCATTTCTATTCAACTTAATTTCACATTTGGAATTGATTTTATGTACGTGTGAAATGTTTCCTTTTTTTCTCAATTACGATTTGCACAAAATGACAGCGAACACACACACATACATACAAAAAAAAATAAAAGAATCCAGGCGCCGCTCAAGGAAAACCATTATTATTTGTATCGAACGCTTTTGGAACAAATTCGAATTGCAAGTGCTGAGGTTAAATGAAATGGAACAATGCCACTGTTTTATGACCAAAAAGTATATTTTTTTTCTCCTTTTTTAAATTTTTATTTCAACAAATCAAATGTTAACCATTGTGTTCACTGTTTGTTTGGTTGATTTGACGGATGTGTGTCATACGAGCGACAATACTTAAGCACATAGCTAACAATCAGGCTCCATCTATGCAGTAAATAGTCATAGTACTTGAAAGTAACGGGGATCATAGAATATTGATGCTTTCAATAGGAAATAATCGCAATATGAAAAATGCATCATTTATCTACTAGAAAAATAAAACATCGAAACTATGCTAGTATTTGCTAAATGCTAATAATGCAGATATTTGAAAATGTGGAGGTAAAAAAAAATGGGTGAAAATAAAATTCAATTGAGAGACATTGAAATGGATTGGCATATGCATAAAACATTTCTCTCCCATAGGTAGTTCAGTGCGATGAAATTTGTAATTTAGACAATGTTGAACGCTTCGAAAACAAAATGAAATGTGATAAGATGCCACTTGCACACCATTGCCTTTATTTGCACGCTATTGCTGGCCAATGTGAACAGTGTTCATTGAGTGTTAAACATTGCACTATAATAATTATGCATAAATGCCAGAGTTGATAAAAAAAGGGAATCAATTGAAACGATTGAAATGTTCACACCTCGAAATGTCAATTTCAGTAAATCAAATGTTTACCGACAATTGACAAAAAAAGCCTACTTCTTCTACTACCTTTGATGAACGTGACAAGACAATCGTTGAATCTCTATTTTACCCATCATTTTCAAAATGAGAACATACTATATCGTCACAGCCATTTCAATTTCACATCTGTTTCTTTGCATCAATGACATTTTTTTTCTCTTTTTTTCGCAATATTCCAACAATTGTACGTTTGCAATGTATTTGCTTCTCTCTCTCCCTCTCCATCTTTCTCACGTTCGTTTATTTTTCTCTTCTCGACTTTCATTCGACAACGATTTTCAGGCGCGATAAAACCATTTTTCGTACAATGGTGACGCAAAGTTTTGCGGCCACATTAGATGATTTTTTTACTATTACCGTGACAATCGTGAAAAAAATGATATTTGGTTTGTGCGTCATAATTGTTTTTAATTAAATGAATGAACATTTTGAGAATGAATCAAGCAGATAGTACTAAAAAAACAAAGAAATGGAATGATGCCATTCAGCAAAGGTTTGCCTTGTAAAACACGTGTGCTCCTTTTATTGTTGTCATTTTTTCGATCGTTGTTCAAATATATTTTTTTGTCATTCAACACAATATACATTCTTGTTTTCTTTCGTTCTATTCACAAAATCATGTATATTTACCAAAATGTTCGTTAATTAAAAATAATTCAACACTGAACTTGAACAACATTGTTTGGTTTTTGGTGTTCGTTTCATTTCTCATTTCAAAGCAAATATATGTAAATAATGTGCTGATGATCTATTTTGTTGACAAAACACATCAACCGACTGACACCACTATTTCGATTGTGTTTATCATTTTTCGTGCAAAATATACATTAGCATCCGATGAAAAATTCATCGTTCGTCTACTAGTTAACTTATATGTTTGGCACAGATGAACGGTAGAGAATGAATTTGAGGAAAAATAGAGTTGAGAAGATGATATTTTTGATCATTTCCACTTTTATTCTCAGCAAATCAGTTATGTTATGAACAACATTCGGAATGACTTCGTTATCATTTTTGATAAATTTTATGATTCAAAACAAGTTGGCCACCGTTTCAGCGATAGAATAACAGAATATTCGGAATTAACTTATCAAACAAGAATATCACTTTTTCCCCAAACTCAGAAATGTGTCAGAAACTTTGTTCCACTGACATATTCTGAATGGTATAAAATGCTTGCAAAAAGTTGCCATCAACTTTGCATGTCATTCAGCATGGCAACGAATAAATTCCAAAGTGCATGTATCAGACAGGTCAGATTGTTTGCAACAACCATCAGAAAGTATATTTAAAGCAATGAGCTCACTTGATTAAAACAATTTTATCAGAGAGAGAAAAAATATCATATTTATTGGGAAAAAATGGTATAAATTACTTCTTTTGAATGTGATAAAAATAATGTGTGCACATTTCAATTATTATAATTGAAATTCATCCCCTGTGGCTGGGCAATTGATTTTATCCAAACTGATTTTCTTTAACAAAGAGTGACTTTGGGACCGAAATGAATAATTAATTTCAGGTTCGCAACAAAAAAAAAACACGAGCAAATCAATTTGGTTGCTATAGAAAAAAAAAAACAACAATGCAAAATAAAAACTGGTGAAAAAATCTGGTGATGTGTGTTTGGTTCATTGTTGGTCAAAAATACATTACGGTAGCACAAAAGAGTAAAAACGATTGCCATAATACGGATAAATGCATTTTTAATAGTTTTTTGTGACATTCAATTTTATTTACGTTAGTTATTTTGCGCATCGTTTATGACGTCTACTTCGGTATATGCGCGTGTGTTTATGGCATTTTGTTTTCATTTTGCTATGAAAAAACAATCATCCGCATTTAAATTGGCCATATTTTGTGATTTATTTTCGCATTTTAAATTTGAAAATCAATATTGAGTACGCCAAAGATTTGTAAACGCCTAAATCAAGTGAGAAAAAAATGATGAAAATGCTTAACAATGAATGAAGAAAAAGAAACACGTCTGCAGCACAAGGTCGAAAAACAATGAATTCAAATGCATTCTGATGATTTCGAAAACGGAAAAATTATTAATACGGTCAGCACAGTGTGTGGTGTCTGTATGTGTGTGCGTGCGATTTTTTTGTTAGTATTTTCTTTATTAAGTAGTTGTTTGGTCATTGAGACGGCGTCTGAAGAGAATTTTTAATCGACAACCGAACAACAACAGTAGCAACTGCCAAAAACAACCAAAGTGACACAAATATTCTTGAGCATGGGGCAATAAAACCTTTGTACACATAATCAATTTGCAATTTTGTGATCGCGTTTATGGATGTGGCATGCCAATTAAATGTAGCGAATATAGTGTTGTGCAATGTCGATTTTCACAGAGAGAAAGAGAGAAACGACAACAACGACATATTGACGTGCGTGTACGTTTGTTATGGCGAGACATCGATTCAAACAAGGTAAAAATGATACGGATTTAAGAGATTCGTCGTAGCTGTTCAATTTGTACACAATGGCAAACATCATCCATTATCATATGCTGCACGAACATAGAAGAAAATCGTTGGTAGACACAACGATTCAACAGTTTTTTTTTTTTTCGTTTTCAAAGTTGTGGGCAAAATTGTGTGATGTTTTTTTTTTTGTTTCGCTTGCAATTGAAAATTCTACGAGAAAATGTTATAGCTAAAAATGAGTTGTATCAATTGAATTGCAATTAGCAGATAAATGGGCTTTGAACATGAAAATAAATAATTATCTGTGCGGCAAATCACAAACAAGCGATTCATAGTCGAAGAGACGGCTACGTGACATAATCTCTCAATCATATTCACTTTCCTTAAAAAGGAATGCATATTTCCGGGGCATTAAATATTCTTCATTCATTCACTATCGTTTTTCAATATTATTTATTTATCACGTTTGCAAATCACATTTATAATTATTACAGCCAATTCAACGATGAATCACGCACATTCATTTTATTTAATATTAGAATCGACTTTGCTTCATTTTGATGTTTGTTTTGAATAGAGATTGAGACTCTCCTATTGAATTCTAATTCGTTTCGACATAATTACGAGCAAAATAAATCGCAAATCGCACATCATGAATGGCGCTCCATATGATCCATCGGATGGTGTCTGACAACAGGCGCGCACCGAATATTTTATTATTATCATTTGAAAAATATGGCGAGTGTTGTTGCTATTTCTATCCAAGTTTCCAGTTTTCTATCCAAATAGCACATTTGAATGTTCGGCTACGACGTTTTGCATGAGACAGGTTTTTGAAAGTAATTACTGTACAAGTAAAATCTTGACGTTTCGAGTTGGTTTCGTTTCGTTTGAAAATTCGAGAAAGGAAAGAAGCATTGTGTCTATGCACATATTTTATTACTGCATTCTCGATATTGTGCGCACCACTGAATTAAACAAATGTTCCAAGTTGAAATTGTAAATAGTTGCAATGAAGTTGCTGGCACTTGTAGATGTCTGAATGTATGCGTGGGAGTAATTTTGTGCATCAATTTCGAAACGAATTGTGCGTTTGAATAGGGGACGAAATATGAGCAACAAAAGTGGTGTACTCGAACATCGGCGAAATGAAGGAGGGAGAGAAAAATGTCTCTTTTATTAACACACAAAACGCGATGATGTGCTGTCTGAGCTGAGTTTCAATCGCATAAGATGGGTGTGCACGTGGAAAACCGTTTTCTGAAATGGAAAATAACTGATGCCATATAAGATGAAATCGGTTGACGATACTTAAGAATTTCCAATTTCACCTAAATAGCGAGAAAAGTTGATGCTTCTGCCGCTATGACGACTGAACATCTTTAAAGTATTTATTCATTAAAAGCCGCAACTGCATTTTTCACACGTTCACACAACTAAAAATGGAAAACCCCATGTTGATGCGATTTATTTATTTTTTTCTATCTTTCTTTTTGTTGCTCTTCGTTTTGTGCAACACATTTCCCTTGTTTCGATTGAATCAGTATCGGGCGGCATTATCTACACAAAAACCAACCGAGACAACATATATGGATATACAATCAAATATCAAGCTGCATTAGGGCCATTCATTTATTCGATTTTATGCGATTTCTTGTTTCTTATTGTGAGTCGAAATAGATTCTGGAGTACTAAGAAAACCAATCGATAGAATGCTGTCGGCAAATATTTGTTGCACTCTCTTGTCGGATTTTCGTGCAAGTTTTGTGAGGACATTTGCTCTAAACCCCATTCAAGTGAAATGAAGCCATGAGTGAATGAGCCATACAACGCCAAACTATATTTAAAACATTTCAATCAATGATGCACACATTGCATCGACTTTTCCAACCATTGATAATAGGATTTAGTTTAAATATATGTTCGACAAGAAAAAAAATTGCTTCGATATGCAATATTCTTCTCTTTCATATTATGATTTATGAATCACTCTGCACAATGTATTGGTTTCTTCCCATCATGTTTGTTGACCAGGGCATGAGAAATAATAAATGGATGCATATATGTAAGCAAGACAAACAGTTTTCCAAACCATGTACGCTGGATAGAAATATTGAATTGGGAAAGTAGCTGCCAAATTGGCTAAAACAAAACCTTTTCTTGGTCTAAGCTTGTCTGTGTTGCGGTTCGTTTCAAGAATTTTTTCCAAAAATCTATCAAAATCTCTAGTATATACATTATTGATTTTTTTTTCTTTGCATTCAAATTGGTTAACTTCACTGCATCAACAACAATGGCTGTTGTTTGGTCCTTTGGGTCGACACAAGTACATATATATAAATTGTTCTTTTTTTATTGCGGCGATATTTCGATTCGGTGTGCACCCTCCGTTGTTATCGTTAAAATTAAACAGTTCCATGTAGATGAATATAATTGGTATTAGTGAAGCGAAGGGTGCACTTGTCATTGAAATATGTAGCAGGATGTGTGTATGTGAAACATTTCGGATGTGTTTTGACGACGATATTTCCAAGAAAAAGTTTGACTCAGTCTCAACATTTATGCGAATGCATAAAAACGTTCACACAGCCCAGGAAAACCATCATCATATTTCGATGCAAACATTTTGAATGATTCATCGTACATATACGTGCGAAATGATGGTGCTATAACCATCAAACATAAATACAAAAGATTAAGCCGAAATTAATATTTTGTTTTCACATAAAAAAATATACAATAAAAATTCCGGTTTTCGTGTATTTGCAGAAATTGAATTTTATGGTCTGTCCACTGCTTAAACAAACTTTAGTAATCTGCAGACTAAGTCTTTGATACAAAAACGGACAGATTTGCATTTATTCACACAGAAAGAAGAAAAATTATGACAATTTGCGAACAAGTGAGATTTTTGTATCTCTTTTTATCTCTGCCTGTGTCTCGTATGAATTTTAAGTTAATAACTTTTGTTTTATCAAAAATTATGCGAAAAAAATAATTTAAGACGAAACTCGATGGCGACTAAAATGGTTGGTTTTTGCGTTCACGTTGGATTATTTGAAAAAAAAAAGCATATTCAGTGCTTCACCTATGCATTTTGGCCAATAGCCAATAGTCAATATTTGGTATATCTCAATATTTTTTTTATCTGTTTGGTATTGCTTCAAAAGGAAACCAGCAATTTGAAGAACATTGTGTCTGCTGCAAAAAAAAAAACCACCAAAAAAATAAAAGAAGCGGTAAAGTTCAAACATGCATACACAAGTTGGTTCCATTGAATTGGCCAAACGAAACAGGTTTTTGGCAAATGTGCGAGGCACATATTGGAGTAGCCGTTGCCGCGATAAAAACCAAAACAAATTTGTAACATATATCGCATGATTGAGTCAAACGAGAGAGAATAAAACCAACGCATGTTATTTATGTCACGATAAATTCATTTGATATATCCGAAATGATTAAATTGTGCTTGCAATGGCATTTCTATTTTGGCAAACGGTATACATTTTCGTATCTCTGATGCACAATTTTCTTTCTATATTGGTTACTATACCAGAAAAGAAACCGATCAATTTTCTTCCAACAAAATCGAATATCTACTTCGTTTGTGTAAAAATCGACAATAAAAATGTGCGTATCCGTTTCGAATTAGGTGGGCGCATCATAGAATGCATTCGTTGAAATATAGTTTTGGTATAAGCTATCGGGTAATCAATCGATTTTCTTATCAGTTTTATGGCCTTATATTCTAACTGTAGTACAACATTCTATAGAGTTGTTGCAATGTATGTATATATGTGTGTGTTTGTTTAGTAGAACATCATCGCATGTAGTGACAAAAATGTGTGGTCGATTCAAGAGGCAATAAAACTTTTGACCGAAACTAAAACCAGTTTCCTAGTGTGGAGAGAATATCATCATGTTTATTGAAGCGTTTTCTTGCTTGATATGGTATATGCACTCTGCAAACATACACGCAACACACATACATACACATATAATTTTATAATCACATCATCGATGGTTTAAATGCAGCCACACAAAACAATTCAAGTGAATCAGCAAAAATTGTAAGCAAAATCCAATTCATGTGATTGCCCTTATAGATAGAACAATTTAGCGATGCAACCAGCCAACAATATGAAATCAAAAAGTGTATGGCGGCCAAAAGAATAGGATATACGTTGCATGTAAACCGAGGTATTTATGATAGTTAAGTTTTTGACTTTGGTCCTTGTCTTTTATGTGATAATAAATGAAACTTGTATGCAATGCACACGTTTACATTGTCGTCGATTGCAACGTTGTAAAATTGTCATAATTTTTTTTTTCGTTTCGAAAGAAGCAAGCAACGCTCCGAAATTTGTGCAATGTGAAACAAACACAAACTTTTGGCCTTAATCAAAACGACACACGATCACAAAATGTGTTTTTATAAAGTTGTAAAGAAATTGAACGAGTTATTTGGTGAATGGCGACTTTTTGACTAGACAACATTCATCTATACATAGTTTGTTCTTTTTTCGTAATGCTTCTTCTCATTTTCTCTGGCCGCAGAGTTTTGCATTATTCGTTTTCTTTCTCATCTAGATGAGGATGCTGATGGAATTTATTGAGCAAAATATTGCATATAATTTCCAGAATTTCATCGTTCAAAGTGCCATGTCTGCCGACACACACACACACCACAGAGAGATGTATCGAGCAAAAAAAACAAAACAAAACAAAAGCAGAATAAATTACAAATGTGTGTTTCGAGAAGTGAAATGAATATTATTCGAAAATTATATGGGTAATTTATCGTAGAAACTATCAAAAATATGTTCTATTGGCACAAACATATGTGAAAATAGAACGAAAACCGTATGTTTTGAATGAAAAATTTCCACCAATCACCATATCTTTCACACATTTTTTTTCTTTATTCCATTTAGTTTATAGTTGGCGTTGGCACATTGTTGCTTTGACAAAAACAAAAAAAAAATTGGCATTAAAAAAGGGCCAAAAAACGTCTTTTGAACACATCGAACGACAAAAATAACGAAACGATAAGAAAAAAGAGCAAAAATGTTGTTACCTGGAATATCATGTAGCCGGAATCGTACATCCAGAAATCTTCAGGAGTATGGCCTGGTTTGCTCAATTGTATCGCCAAACAGTGTTGCAATATCAATCGACATCGCTGCGATGTGCCCGGTGATTTTGTGCCCATTTGGATGATATCGATTAAATTGGATGCACACAAATAATTTCGTTACTTAATTCAATTCGATGTTTTTGGCAGAGGTGCGCGCGCGAATGCACCGCTCGAATTGATGATTTTGGTTGAACTGACACTGTTTTCTCTCTCTTTCTCTGTCCCTGGTTCACTTATTCGTACGTATGTAATAAATGACACACACATACATACACAAGTCGTCTACACACAAACACACACACACACACACTCCGTTCTGTTGATTGGTTTATACTTTCAGTTGTTCAGATCCAAGATGTGCGCGCGATATGAGAGTGTTTTCACGCTGGTTTCATTGTCATTACTGAAATAAAGGCAAAGAAAAAAAAGAATACAAATATTAGCGTTTAGCAAATAAAGCAAGGTCTGCGTATCTATTTTATACAACATACACACGCGCATATGACTTACACACACGGCGAGAGGGAGAGAGAAAAGAGACGACGCGATAAAAGCGAGAGGAAGACACACAGCAAAGAATATTATGACAAAAGTAGAAAAGGTAAATAAATGTATATATATAAATAACCAAATGACTTTTGCTAATTTGTTCATTTTCGTCCAAAAAAACAGCACTAGCATCTTATCAAGCACGTTTCCGTCGAAATGGTTTTGTAAATTCGGTATAATCAAGGGGAAAAAATATTCGCTGTTTTTTTTGTGTGTTCGGGATTTCTTCGTAATCGTCATTCATTTATATTTTTCGCTTTTTCATACACCGCAATGTTTGCAGTTCGGTTCAAAGTGTTTTGGATAGCAATTGTCTGCTTAAAAAACCATAAACAACTGGTTTAAACTCACATCAATTCTCTTTCTCTCTTTTACACTCTTTTATTCCATTTTAATTAATATCGAGCAATATTTTAAAAGATATTTTTTTTTTTTTTTTTTTTTTTCAATTTATCACCACGGGAATCAATGATAACTGTTTAAAGACATTATGCAAATCAATCCATGGTGAAAAGAACCAAACAATTGACATCGAATGAATGAGCAAAACAGAACAAGACATTTGAAAGAGAAGAAACAGCGAAAAACAAACACATTCACACGACTGTGACGTCATTTTAGTGCAAACAATTTAATCAACACTGACATTATTATTCGTCAACAGTCGCAGAAATATATAATTAATTTTGTGCGTACTGAAAATGTTAATGTGCAGATATTTTGGCGTTCGTACGATTGAACAAAACGATCGAACATGGAAAGTGATGTGTACACATGGAGATTCACCAAGATGAATCAACTGTATTCCCATTCCTTCTGCGGATCGATAAGTCATTGTCTTTAATTCTTTATAAAAAAAAAGAGAAGAAGACTTGTTCTCGAAACGAGTTTTATTCGTGACTTAAGCATCGACAGCAGAAGCCGGTAAACGTATAATATCCCATCTTTATTGGGGTAAAAGTAAATGCTTTGCTTCCTGAATGGCGAAGAACATCACTCATCTTTTAGTTCTTTCTCTTTTTTGCATGTTGTTATTTGTTTTACGATTATTATGACGCAGCGGCTAATTTTATACGCGATTTTTTCCATCATAAATTGAAAGATTGTAAAAAATGCAAATTTCCTGTTCTAGTTGATCCGAATACCTGTAGTTCAATCAATTTCTATTCGACATTAAAAGCAATGGGTGAGGTACTATAACTGAAAATATGCGTGCGTTTTGCATTTAGATTGTTGAGATTTTTCAAGGTTTTCACCATTTTTCTACATCAAGATGCAGAATGTGCATAAAGATTTATTAACTCAGTGTATCGGCCACGATTACATAATTGGAAATTGAATGGCATATAAATTACGCTCGAACACACCCGAGCGAAGACCTGTGTGTATATATGTTGATGGCAAAAATCAATATATATTTTTTATGAACGAAACAAAACTTAAAGTTCAACTGTGTGTATTTTTTTTATGAGGTGCACACTATTTGCGATCGAATGGAATGCGATCGAATGCATAATATCCAAATCAGAGTTCGGAAACAGGTGCTCACCAAATGCATTAAGAGAGTTTATCATTTCGTTAGATGCCATGTAATGATTGCACTGTAATTCGATATATCGGACAGTTTTATTTTGAAAAAACAACTATATGGTGCCCATTTTGGTCGATAAAATCTGTGCAAATATCACCGATAAATAAAATCGCGCATTGGAAACGATTGAAAAAAAAAGTATGTAGAAACATTGTTTGTTCGAATTTATGCTTGCGGATAAAACAAAAACTTGAAAAACTATTTTTAGCGCTTTCAATTTGGAATTGGTTGAGTTTTGTGCGTGTGACTCTATCGTTTGACCACATTGCACGTGCATTTTTCATGTTTTTGGTACATTGTCACTTTGCGGTAAAACCGTCAATTTTGTTGTGCCTACATGCATTTCAACTCTCGTTGCCAGGTATATTTTCTTCTCTCTCTCTCTCTCTCTCTCTCTCTCTATGCCGCGCTCGCTGAAAAAGCTGCTCTCGGAACAAGAACAAACTTGCAACCTGTTCAACATCTTGTTGCACATGTCTTACATATTTCGTTGTGACTCTCTACTCTCTCGCCTTATAATAATTCTTTCGGTGTTTGATTCGTGTATGGATACTTTTATTGGAATTGTCGATTACGAATCAAAGCAATTATTAAGCGACAAATAAAAAACAGAATGATCATTGCACCAAAAAGAATGTGATCAGGTACAATAAAACCGAATCATTATTCCGAGAGTGACGAGACGGCAAAAAAAAAAATATTCATACGCTTATATCTCTTTCTCTCGCGGGCGCACACATTAGCCAAACTATGTGTCACAACAAAAATTCAGTGCAACCTACTGATACTGCAATATCATTTGGCATACATGAGAATTGGCGTAGGCATTTATAGATTTTGGCGGATTTTCTAAATGTTTGGCCGTTAAAATGAAAAATTGAAATGAGAAGCAATATGACATAAAATGTATGTGTTTCAAACAAAATATACCTAATGATTCTTTTTTTTTGTTTCTAGTTTGCGCAACATATATTCGGGCTTGTTTATGTCGATAAAATAAAAAATTAAAATAAAGCACTGTGCTTGCTAAGAAAATATGAAAATTGCGTTTAAACCGAAATCGAATTGTATATTCAATATGAAAGTTATTCGCTTGCATTTCACAACGATTGAAACGGGCGAACACAATCATTCCATGCACTCCATATGTGTGAACAACCATTTACCCAGAGTGCAGAATATGCGCTCAGATTAGGAGAAATATTATGCGATGAAATTAATTTGCTTATGCTTGTCGTTATCAATCACTATCGCAATTTCTGAACACACACTTGCACTGGCATTGCCATTCACCATATCGCTTTTCGAGAGAGAGAAACACACACACACACACACACACACACACACACACTCACTTCGCTGACGAAAAAACTTGTTCGTCATTTTGTCTGTGTTTACTCGTTCACTTAATATCGACCAACTCGTGGACGGTTATTTCGACAAATTTGAGCACAATTCAAATTTTATAGTTGATTTAATATGAGCGGACGCCATGTTGTAAGAGAAAAAAAATGAGTATTGGTTCCGATTCGAAATGTGCCATTAGAAAATGTGTATAGTCGGAGATGTATTGGTGATTTTAATAAATTTGTTTATGGCATGAAAATATTAGCGATGTGACAAGTAACATGTAACCAAATTCATATCCATATCGAACGTGAAAGGAATGCATTCTATTTGGTATCTGTCTATATGATAATAATTCGTTGCGCTTATAAATTTAAGAGTCTCATTGCTTTGTATCGAAACGTGTTTAATGCACTTGGCGAACAGAAAAAAGGAACTTGTTGATATTGTCCAGTGAATAGGAAGTGATCGCATGCATTGTAGAGTAATAATTGGTGCGCAAATGCAACGACAACAACGACGGCAACAATAATCAATGTTCGTGATTTGTTGATATTTGCCTTCGAGCCGTGACTGAAACTGTTTCGGACTTCGCATCTCATACATCACGGTCCCATATCTCTTCATCTCTTACTCTTTCTCTTTTTATCTCTTGGTGAATTTTCGTCGCCCCATTATTCCTTGCAAGAGAGTAAAGTGTACAGCTGTCGGCGAAAGAAATCTGTCAAGCACATGAAAGTTGAAAATGGCATGGATAATTGAATTACATTCGCAATTAACCGCGTACAACCAAGCAGCAAGGTGAGACTTGCTATTATTATTCATGCAAGCGCATGGATAAAAATCCACGTGAGAGGACAACAAATGGGTCTGTTCACATTTAATGATTGATCATTTATCCAGATCGGTGTACATTGTACACACACACACACACACACACACACGTGCAGAACATCGAGAGCGAGAGAGAAAGATAGATTCATAAACAGTGCATGTTAAATGGGACACAAACCAAAGTCCATCCATTGGAAAAATCCATTTTCATTTTTCATAGTTGTTCATTTGTTTTGTTGATTTGTGAAAGAGAGTGAGAGCGTATCGTGAGGCGGTGTCGACCAAATAACTATTTTGATCCCATAAATCAATTGTAATCGATTAAAGACCGTGGAAGAGAGACAAAGAAGAAGAAGAAGAAGAAAAAAACTCTCACTAAGGACTTATGGGCGGCCAGTGAAATGTAATAAAATCATTGAAAGCGAATACACGATTATCAAACGTTTTATTTACGAAACATCGTGAGAAATATTTGATAATTTTGTATTGAAAATTGAATGCCGCTCACGGTTCGAATGGTAGAGTTAATTGACTGGTAGGGATTGCGATTAAGTTAACAAGCATTACTGCAATTGATGCATTTCAAATGAAAATGTCAATATGCATCATGTATCCGACACTATCCAGCTACCAACGGTCAAACGCACACACACAAAATGCGCATGCAAACGATTTTCATCGTCACTGGCATCACAGACGAAACAAATTAATCGGCCACTTTACGTTTATCCAACCGGAATTTTGAATATGCAGATTCACAGTGCAAAAGGTAAATCGGTACATGTATTTCAATCTAATGTCACAAATCGCTAAGCAAAATTGATAATTAATTTCTTTACGTAAGCGAAATGCCATCATCGTCGCCGTCGTCGTCATCAATATTTTTTTTTGCATTGATTGTTTGTTTTGTGCACGCATTTCAAATAATCAATAACATAATTAACGATCGAAACAGGAAATGAATTATTGGAAAATTGCACATACATGCACAAAACGGTCAATTATTATTATGTGGTGCCAATGCATGGCCACAAAATTATTTGAATGAATGGTACCAACGATGCAATCGAATAGAAAAAAGT